ACTTGATTTCTAGCATAATAAAATGTAGCAATTTTTTATTATTTAAAAAAAAAGTCATACTCATTGACTGAATTTGAAAGCATTGGTAAAATTAGACTGTTTTTTGTTGCAACAAAAGACTTTGAAATTAAACAAAAAAGGAATGTGCTGGAGAATGTTTGAGGTGCTGTCATACTGTGAGCCTGTTTTACTTTTAAAGCCCTGGGAAGGATGCAGTAGGGGAGGGTGCTTTGAAGCCTTAAAAATCATTTTAAATGGAAATTTGGTTATTTTTAATCAAAAAACAGAAAAACCTGGTGTTTATTCTTGTACAGTTAACATGTTTATTTAAACTGTATGATGTTGCATGTTTGCTGTTTTTATCATATTCAATTTTTCGTGTTTTATTTTGGATTTTATCTCGTAAAAGGTGATATATAAATAAAGTTTACCTTGCCAACAACAGGTAAAAATCAACATGGAAAAGGTTCTTAAAAAAGAAAAACTTTTACTTTAAGAATATACCAGAAATCAGATCCACAACCTATAGAAAATCTTACAGCATGAGACAAAAAGAGATAAAAAAAAACAACTCTTTTCTCTCTGACTACTCTAAACTTGTGAAGAACTCCTCGTGCAAAAATGGAACACACCGATGATGTAAACAGAGACAAGAGAAGACGCTGTGTTGAGACAGTGGAGGGAAATACCCTGCTCTCTGTGTAAACTACATCTGACAGGTATCATTTTTCCCTGTGTCCTGTTGCGACTCTGCCGAGTGTTGTGCGAGCACATTTGATCATATACAGTTGACCATTCTTTCACCTTTATTTATGTGAAACACACATTTTGTTTATAGCAGGGTTACAGATGAATGCTGTAAAAAAAAATGGAGGAGCTGTACAGTCTTTCTGGGACAGTTACCTTTACACTTGTGTGTACAATGGCACAAGGAAAAAGCACTTGTGCACAGGATGCCCACTGACGGTTTCCTTTTTTTCTGAACAGCCAAGAGGAAGTGGGGGGGGTTCAAACACAAATAAGGCTGACAGTAGGCACACTATGCTGGGGAAACAATATTTGGGTAGATCCGGTGTAAAATGTACAACATATCCCAATTCTACTAAACTAAAGGAGGCTGCAGCTATGTATCAGTGCCTGAAATGCTGAAAAAGTATTTCCTTACTCACCTTTCACTCTTTATTCTTACAGTAAATTTGAACAGTTTTAGCTGAAATCAAGACTTTTTAATTTTGACCATGTGTTCTGGTGCTATACTGCCAAGCAGTTGCAGATTGTCACCTCAGTTTCTTGTTCTCATCTGACAGCAGAGGGAGCCGTCAAGGTGTTTCTCTGCTGCAAGCCTTCTGCTTTAAGATTTGGTGTATTTTGCATTTAGAGACGGCATCCCACATACCCCAGACATTAACAAGTGGTTATTTGAGCTACTGTTGCCTTTCTACCATACTGAACTAATCAATTGTCTGCTTCTTATAGCTGACAGTTTAACAGTAGGATCCAATAAAGATGCAGATGAGTGTGTTTATCGTCCCTTTAAGTGGGAAATGAAACTGACTCAAAGCTTTATTTTCTGACGTTAAGGCACACAGAACAAGGCTGTTAAGTGACACAAATGCGTCATCAAGAACAACAGCCCCTTTTTCTCACAGCAGGACTCGCTCAAAGAGGCCTTCTTCCGGTAATATGTTTACACAAACGAAGATCCCCCAACGGATCTCAATTATATAAGGATAGACCCCCCCAACACACACACACACACACACACACACAGACATACATCTTAAAGCAAGGAGTCAAGATGATTAATGTCAGTTTTAATGGAGTTCTCTTATCACCACTCTCATGGTAGTTGAATGGATGTTCTCAGCTTTGATAAAAGAGGAATGGGTCAGACCAGACAACCAGGAAACACATCATACCTCTCAACTCCACCAGATTCTTGGACCTTCATTTTAATATACTAACATTTAATAAGATAAAAAGAAAGAATAAGGATAACTTGAAGTCACGTCTTTTTTTTTTCCTCTTTAGCACAAGCCAAACTCTTTAAATCTCCCCTTTTGTTTAAGGAACAAGACAGCTAAGCCCTAGTTACATCTCCTAGTAGTGGTTGTGATGCAAGGAATCCAGGTCAGGTCCACCTATTGTAAATCCTCCAGATTCTTAAATATTCTTTGGATCTTGATTGTCCGAATGGTTTCTTTTCCTTCCGCACTTTTCCTTTCCACTAAACCTTCCAAAAATATGTTTGTAAACAACACCCAGAAACACCCACTTGTGGCTTGATGTTGCTATTAACACCATCTGGAACACTGTATTCACCAAGATTGAGGTTTCTCTCCCTTTTACTGCTAATTTATGTACAATGGTGTACAATTGCCACAGTGATTTGTTTCCCCCCCTCTTCCTCACCAAGTCAGTAAAGCTTAAATGTCGAGAACACAGCCAAAATATTGTTAACAAAGCCAATGTAGGTACCTACATCGAAATGTCATGAACAATACAGAAATATCGAAAATAAAGCCAAAATGTCGTGAAGAAAGCCGCAATGTCGTGGAAAAGGCCAAAATGTTGTAAAAAAAAAAAACAAAAAAACTGAAATGTCGTCAACAGAGCCAAAATGTTAACACAGCCGAAATATCGCCAACAAAGCCGATGTAGATACCTACACCAAAAAGTCATGAATGATAAAAGAAATGTCAAAAATAAAGCCAAAATGACATGAACTGTCATCAAAAACAACTGGATATGTCGTCATCAAAGCCAAAATGTTATCAACAGAGCCGAAATCTGGATATGTCGTCATCAAAGCCAAAAATTTCGTCAACAGTGCCGAAACGCTAACACAGCCAAAATATCGCCTACAAAGCCAATGTAGGTACCTAAGCCGAAATGTTATGAACAATACAGAAATTTCAAAAATAAAGCAAAAATGTCGTGTTAAAAGCCGCAATGTCGTGAAAAAAAGCCGAAATGTCATCAAAAAACCCGATGTCATCATCAAAGCCAAAATGTCGTCAACAGAGCCGAAATGTTAACACAGCCAAAATATCGCCAACAAAGCCATACCGAAATGTCAAAAATAAAGCCATAATGTCGTGAACAAAGCCACAATGCTGTAAAAAAAAAAAAAAACAATGTCTTCATCAAGCCAAAATGTCGTCAACAGAGCCGAAATGCTAACACAGCCAAAATATCGCCATCAAAGCCAATGTAGATACCTACACCGAAATGTCATGAACGATACAGAAATGTTAAAAATAAGGCCAAAATGTTGTGATAAAAGCCGAAATGTCGTCATCAAAGCCAAAATGTTATCAACAGAGCCGAAATATTATCAACAGAGCCGAAATATTAACAAAGCCAAAATGACGATAACAAAGCTAAAATGACAATAAAGTCAAAATGTCGACAAAGTCGAAATGTCAACAAAGTCTAAATGTCAACAAAGTCTAAATGTCAATAAAAAGCTTTGTTAATTTTAGAGAATGTAGGCCTAAAATGTTGTGCGATCAAGCTGATGTTGATCGTTATTCACGTCCACTGACATTATCAACTTAATTCTTGAAACCTTTTTTAATCAAGTTTATTTACCAAACTATATTTCGTCATTATTCTCAACATTACTGACTTGGTGAGGAAGGGGGGGGAAATACACTCCCAATTTTTTTCTCCCTCACTTTAGCAGCAATACTCCCATGTATACATGAGTGGAAAGTAACAGAGTACATTTAATTGATTACTTTTTTTTTGAGTATCTTTACTTGGAGTCATTTTTGGGGGGTACTTATAACATTTCAAAGTAAAATATTGTACTTTCTACTCCACTACATTTGTGGCATTTTTATGCGGAAGTTCTTGGTTCTAAGCACAGATAAATTAGGTGGTTTCTGAAAGTTACAAGGTTACAAAGTTACTCTGAAAATTAAGCATAAATGTGCTCATATTCAACATTTAAATATATATATATATATATATGTACTTTTGAAAACGTGTTTTCAAAAGTTAGTACTTCAGTACTTTAAATTGAGTAGATGTTTGACCGTAACGTTTACTTGTAGTTGAGCAAGATTTGACTAGGAGTATCAATACTTTTTTTCAAGTACTACGGTACTGTTTAATTCTTCATCCACCACTGCAAGTATATATATGCTAACTTCTGGAGAAAATCTTTTTTCTTTTCAGAAATAAAGTTAAAAAAACAAAAAAGGATGTAAAAAAAAAAAAAAAATTAAACATTATATTTTTGAGATGCACCTATACATCTGTAATTCCCTCAGCTGCTTCTTAGTTGAACAAATTAACCCCCCCCCCCAACCTCTGATCTCCATTTGTGCCTAATTACTCGGAGCAGTCCTGAGTTCTTCAGATCACTTCAATCTAAAAGTTAGGTTCGCTGACTGACAGAGACAGAAGTGGAGTTTATAAAACAACATTAAAATCCTTCTAACTTGATGTTCTGACTACTGAAAGCACATGGTGCTGCCTTTCTATTGAATTATAAAGAGCTAAATAAATTATATGAGCTTTTCAAACTCATTGTCTGATTCAGTCTTCCTTTAATCACATCTAATGTAGATGTAGCTTTAAAAAAACTCCCTCTGCTGAGGGGGTTGTCATCTCTAGATCAACTCAACTCCTCCTTTTAGCTTTATCTAATAAAAAGCAAACGTTTCAGCTGAAACTGAAGGCTATAGAAGCACTTAAGAGTCACAGACTGAACTGTGCGCAGTATTTTCTAACCAATTTACCATGTTAACATGACCCATAACCTAACAACTGTGCCCTCCAGCCTTAGTTTGTGCGTCTTTGGGATACATCTCTATCCCATAAAGCTACAAAAATAGATGGGAGAACAAACATAAGACACAAAGCAGTCCCTGGATGAATATAAAAGCTTTGAATGGCCCAGAACAGATAGTTTTGTTTTATTTTGTCTGTATTTACAATTGAGTTTGTGACAGAGCTGGAAGTGATGCACTACAGGAAAAAAATATTCTTTTCATCAGTAGAATCATTTAATCATTAGAAAGATAAATACATTTTTATCTGTCTTTCAGGATGCATTTATATAAAAATGAAATAAAGGGGCCTCTGCTTCTAAAATTCCTGTAGGAAAAGAAAATCCCTTCTCCAGGGAGTGAAAACAGAAATTGTCTATTTGCTGTGATGCTCTTCCTTTCTTCTTCAGCCTTTTTTTTATCGATCAGGTCTTTGGAGGCAGAACACTTTGGCCTGGTTGTCTCCTGAAGCAGTTACAGCAAGAGTCGCTTCCCTGAGGAGACACGAGGACAACCAGGATGTAATCAAATTTATTCTCATTTAAGAGCAACAGAAGGTCAAAAACAATATGTTGATTATTCCCCTCATTAGTTATTGACTTTACTTTTTCCATCTTCTGTTTAAACGGTGTGGAGGGTCAAAATGTGACATCCACCTCAACATTGTTTGCTGCTTCTTTGCTTAAAGGTATAGTGAAGGATTTTCTTTCTCCGGGTGGATCATCTAAATAAGTGGTCCTCCTAATTGTCAATCATTCCGGTTAAATGTTTACGTAAGGCCGCCCTACATGCTAGTCCCCATTTAGCTATCTTTTTCTATGCATGCGCATTTTCAGGCGTATATCTGGGGTGAGCTACGGTTTCAGACAGTCATTGAAGCTCAACTTTCTCACCGCGGTTCTTTGAAAATGGCCGAGGGTCGTAAGAGAAAAAGTGTCCATGAAGTGTATGAGAAGAAAGGCCTCAGAAGAGGCAGATATACCCCAGAATGCTTTGCAAGGAGAGCTCTTCTCGCAAAGCATTATGGGATTTGCTGTCACAGCGGCAGCAAATCCCATAAGGAGGAGGAGTTATGTGACCAACGGGGAGTAAAAAGTACTTATCATCTGTCCAAATGGTCACTTAACTGAGTTCACTTAACAAATTTACGAAAATCCCCTACAATACCTTTTAAATCTCATTTATACTTACATTAAAAAAATTGCTTTTTTTTTGTTTTGTGTCGTTATGCACCAAGTTCAAAAGATGGCGTTCTGGACCCAATTAGAAGGTACTTGGAGGCAGCCGTACCTGTTGATAGTAAAGTCGAGGATCTCTGCGGTGTGGCCGCGGTACTCCGACAATAAGTTTCCAGAACGAGCGTCCCATAAACGCAGCGCTCCGTCTAGACAGCAGGTGGACACCACCGAAGAAGACTCCTCCCACTGCAGATGAACAATCCCAGCCTAAAAGACCCAGAAAATGGTAAAAAAAAAAAGCAACCAAAAACAGGTTTGGAGTTTTAAATGCGAATCAAACTAAAGGAGCTCGTTCTTACCTCATGCTGGAATCGGTGCCTCAGCACATGTGAAGAAAGGTCATATATAGCCAGAGTCCCATCCAAATAAGCCACAGCTACCAGAGGCAGGCTGCAAATACAACAACACACCATTGTAAGATGCTAAGGGGATTGCGTCTGATTTGGAAATCTGGTTATCATCTTACATGTTGCAGAATCCCACAGACTCGACAGAATTGGATTCTTCCTCATCTTTTGATCCTTTTGCCTCCACAGAAAACACGCCAACAACCTAGAAGCACAACTTTACTAAGCGAAGCAGTTAAAACTATCCATTTCCCCCTTTTAATGTTTTCTGTTGTGACCCACCTTGCCTGTGGTGGTGTTAATGAGCTTGGCACATCCGTCCACTGAACCCGTCAGCATGAGGGAGCCATCCTTGTTGAATGCGAGGCAGGTCAGCGCCCCCTTGTGTCCATCGTGACCTTTGAGAAAACACTTTCATTTCATTTAAAATCACATCTTTTTTCACTCCTAAAATTAACCGCCTGTTAATTTGCATTTATTTAGCATAATTATAATTCTTCATAAGTGAAATCTGTTGTAAGTAGAAGCGTAATACGTGTAAATCAGTTTGGTTGACAACTCTTTATCAAGGAAAAGAGAAAACAAAATAAACCTGGTATTTAGTGGGGAAATTCGGGTTTATTTGAACAAAGTTAACAAAATTATAAAAGTTTATTAAGATTTAATTTTAGTTTTTTCTAGGCTGTTTTTTTTTCTCAGCTCAGGGTACAATCAGTCCCATCAGTTTTCAGATGTGTACTTAAAATTACACCACTAAGCTGCAGACATTTTTCACAGCTTGGAATTCTGCCCTTTAAATTTATGTCCTCTCCCAAAAAGGGTGGCTGAAATAAAAGCTAGTTTTTGTAAGAAATGCATTTAATTTTGTCATTTTAATTCTGAAACATAAGAGATTTAAAAAAAAAAAAAAAAAAAAAAAAAAAAAAAAAAAGTTGATTAATCGGATTTGGTAGGAAAAGAATTTAATTTAAACATTTCTTATGAATATGTAGGGAAATCATTTTGACAATTTCTATTTTACCATTAAAGGTGCAGTAGGAGATCTTTTGACACATTTTTTACCATGTGGCTTAAAGATCTCCCCACAGCCGCTTAGCAAGCAGTGAAATAGAAGGTCTGGAAGTGAAAATAAAATAAATGCTCCCCGCTACAGTGAGAAATCAATGAGTAACATCCATCAATCAATAAACCAGGAACCAATCGTTGTACACGATTGGTTCCTGACACGTCAATCATGGTCATCTGCTTGTTCCTCCCCCTGTGCGCGTACCCTGACAGATGAACGATTCGACCCCCTAATTGTTGTGCAGGACGTCATGGCTGGAAGCTAGCCACTGTTTAGTTCTGATGTTTAGTTCTGATGTACGGCTAAAGCATCTTTGCTGCTTTGGCTGCACGGTGGAAAAAGTGGGTCTGATGCGCGTTGGGTGGAGCTAACTTATCCTTTCTTTGCCTGTAACAATGGCAGCTATATTTGCTATGATCAGTGGGTTAAAAAGTAGTTTGAATCCATTTTGAAGTAAGAAAGTCCACCTGAAAAATATCAGTTCATGCGTGTCTTCCTGCCAGCTCCCAGATAAGCGAACTGCATCCATAGTTATGTGTTTTGAAGGCGTGGTTTCGAGGGGTGGTCTGAAGGGAGAGGCATGGTTGTGCATGTTCAAAATATAGCTTGCCTGAACCGTTTTTCCAAGGTCTCCTACAGCACCTTTAAGTGTATTTGTACTTTTATTTAAATATTTTGGGGCCTAATCAAATTCACAGAAGTTATGTTGTCATGGCAACGTCAAACAATCCACTGGTCGCAGAGAAAAGGGCTATCCTGCTCACGGCTGTGGACTAGTAAATTCAAATAGTCTACTGACAGAATTTAGGAGAAAATATGGCACAGAAACGCATTTCTGATTCATCCACTCATGAGCGACTTTATCACCACGACCTCAGAGCGCACCCTCAACATTTGGACACTTGTAACTGAGGATGCCTTCTGTAGCTCAAAGTAAGAGCATGGTACCGCTGCACACTTTTATATCTATTCGTGCAGTTTAATCCAACCATAGTATTTTAGATTGTTATTTTCATCCTGTGTTCTTTGTGTAATGGATGTGGAGGACTGTTCAATAACGTTTAAACAGTATAATATAATTATTTCCTTGTGTTTTGTGTAAATTTTGGAGAAAATAGTCAGGTGTGACATAAACACAGTGACTCAGGTTCATGCCAGCTGACCAAATCTGAAGTGAAGTTTAATTAACAGTGCACATATTCACCTGAGAACTTATGATGTCTGTGTAATACAGACCCTGGTTGTGTGCACTGAAGTGTAAATGACAGTAAACTAGTGAATCTCAATCTATTTACTTACTTATTTTTATTGTATTTTAAATAGGCATATAGGCTCATAGGTCTTTTGTCCAAAGAAAACAAAAACATTTTCGCAGCACGCCCTGTTCAAAGGTACTTCCAGAAGCCCATCACCCGGCCCTGATTTAAAAAAATATATGAACAAGAACGATTAAGAGACTGTAGAGTAAGGGTGGACTTAAGAAGAAGAGCATAAGAAAAATAACTGTAGTCACACCATAAAAGTTCACTTGTTTTATCTGGAAAACTAGCATATGTGCGACCAGCATGCAGCACCTCTGTTATGCATATTTATGCTTTTATTAAAGCAGCGACATACAGCTTGGTTTGCAAAGAGGGTATGGCAAGCAGTAAATTATCAGTATCAATTACTTCAAACATGTATACAAAGAGCTTGCCATGATTCACCGTTAAATCATCATTTGGCTTGCCGTATGTCGTACAGTACCTTTAATGACATGAATTGAATTTCCACGCTTCAGGTCCCACAGTCTTATTGTTCCATCCTCATAACCCACAGCGGCTCTTTTACCTGGAGGAAGACGTCAGAGAACAGAGAACACGACGGCGTTTCAGCATCAGACATGAAGAGGAGAAACCATTTTTGCTTCAGATGGTGAATTTATTGAACATCCATTTAGGTTCAAGATTTAGATCTTAATTTAATCCAAACATGAGCTTTGCATCACAATTATGTAAAAGTACAGTTAAAGTCAGATTTTCAGATACAGTATAGAAAATGACACAAACCTTTTATTTAAAAAGTTTAGGATTCCCAAAATACTCCCTTATTTAAGGGATTTTTTTTTTTTTTAATCCAGAGATTTTAAGTTGAATTTCCTTCAGACTATTACTTGGGCGTGTTTAAGGTTTTGCTGGCATTTTGGCCCATTCCTCCAAACAGAATCCATTAAATTGAAGGTGGGTTTGAAGATCATACAGACAATTATGGACTTTGTAATTGTCCAGTTTAATTTGCGGTTTAAAATCAACACCTGTTATCTTTCTTCACTTCTCTAAGCATCGAAGCGTTCAGTTTCGCTTTCTCACCATCAGGAAGGAATTGTCCACTGGTGGCCTGACACCCAGGGCTCTGAAAGGTTTTACAGTCTCCTGCTGGGACCTTCCACATCCAAACGTTTCCATCATTGGTCCCCGCCAGCAGCACAGGAGCGCAGGGATGCCACTCCAACCACTGAGGAAGAGATGAATTTACACCTGAATACAGAAACTATCCAGCTTCCTGTCCTCATCTTATGCTTTTGATACTTTTTGAAATGTTCATTTTAAACAATGATTCAAACATGTAAAAACTGAGCGCGTTCAAGGGATCCAATGACTCTCTGCACTCAAAACCTTACCTCCAGATCTCCCACTTCAAACGACCAGATCTCCTCTTTAGTTTCCACTTTCCAGACTTTAATCTGACCGCTCATATCCCCCGAAGCCACCAGAGATGAGTCGTGGCTGAACATGGCACATGTCACTGAATCTTTGTGGCCTACAAAGTCCGAAAAAAAAAAAGAAGAAACATTTTGGGGACAGGATATTTTAAAATGTTTTATTTATCTATTTTATTTATTTTTGTTGAGGTACGTTGCTGGAACTGTTCTAA